GAACAGGTCGGTCTGGCGGGACGAGGCTCGGCAGCCTCCTCCTCCGCCGACTCGACCACCCCGAGGCCCATCTCCTCGCGGCCCTCCACCTCCCGACAGTTCGAGTCCCACACTGAGGAGAGCTGCTTCCGCGCCGGCTCTCCGGACAGACCGGGTCCGCCCGGAAAGGCCAGCACCTGCCCGGCGGCCTGGCAGGCGAAGGCCTGCTGTAGCAGGCCGACTTGGGCGTCGAGCGGCCCAGCGCCGATCGGACTCGTCAGACCGCCGAGGCCAGCGAGGCTGCTGAGGCCGCCCAGCTGCCCGGACAACGCGATCTCGGACTTGAGACCGACCAGCAACGGATGCTGATAGGCCGCGTTAACGAGGACGTCGCCGAGTCCGACGCCCATCGGCCCGGCCGTGGCGACCGACGGACCGACGGAACTTGGCGACCCGGAAGCGAGTGCGGCGGCGGCGCAAGCGGCGGCGGCCAGCAATTCGAAGGAGGCCGGGTAGCCGGTCGTCTGTACCGTCGTTGTCAAGTGCGCCAGGTCCGGATCGCTTTCGCCGCGGGGCTCGGATGAGGCGGCCGGCGGCGTCAGGCCGACCACGGGTGGCGTGGGCCCGGCTCGTGCGTCACTTCGAGGGCTCGTGGACACCGACGGGCGACCCGTTGTCTTGGACAGGTCGAGAGCGCTGCCGACGCCGAGGAGTCCGGCCGGCGCGGGTCTCCGCGGCGTCGGCGGTTGCCCCGAGGCCTCGGAGAGCCAACTGGCCGAGTAAACCGGACCCAAGGACCCTGAGATGGGACATGGCGCTGACGACGTGTACGTCGGAGTCGACCCGGTCCCCGGACTGTCGGAGGAGAGGACGACCAAAGATCTGGCCAGACGGTTGCCATTCAGGCAGACGAGGGAGGAGGGCGAGCAAGACGACGTTGAGGAGGAGGAGGAAGAGGAAGCTGAGGAAGCCGAACACACCGTCTCCATTGGTAGGGGCTGTCTAGAGTGGAGCATTGAAGCTGGAGAGCCGGCGCTCAGGTCGGATAACCGGACGGAGGGTGTGGTACATGCGCTACGTACTTTCTCTGGACTTTCATCGTAGTCTCGATCTGCGTGATAGAACAAAGGAAAAGCAATTTCATTTGAATGAACATAGAAGAGTTAAATAAATATTTCCCGATGACCCTTGTTCCCACGATCGGGTAACTAGGCCTCATAATTAAAGGTATGAAGACCAAGATGGTGTGGT